TAGTGTGTTATAGACATGTTTTATTTTCCGAACACGGTTAGCATATTGTGGCCGTGTTCGTAATTAATATTGTTAAGAGTTGGATTTTTTTTTTTTTATTATTAGGGCTTCCATTATTTTAAATCTGTTTTTTACATGTAGATGAGGTTATTACGTTTGTGTTTTCTACTAGTATTTTTCGAACGGAGTCTGGTAGGTTTGTGTGTGTGTTTAAATGGGTTCTAATGGAACTCTGATCAGATAGGTGTAAGGTAAGGCGTCAGGATAGGCATGTAGTTGTGTGACCGATGTAATTATTTATGAGTCCGGTTTGATCAGGAACAAAGTTCCTTAAGGGGCATTTGAACTCATAGATAATGTTCGTTCGTTGTAATTTTGACTTAGCGGGTGTGTTGTTATTTTTGAGGATTAGGTTAGCTGTCTTAAATTTTTTATAGTAGATAATTTGATTTTTTTATTCGGGTTGAACTTAAAAATATTACAAAGATATACACTACCCCAATCGACCCCAGAGAAAGAGATAGAGAGAGAGAGAGAGAGAGAGAGAGAGAGAGAGAGAGAGAGAGAGAGAGAATTCTGTATATGTGTAACAATCCCTCTTTAATACATGTTTTTAACAAGATTGCCAATATATTTTTGTTTAGTTTTACATTATGTTTTCTTGTATACGTACAAAGAGACTTGTTAATATATTATAAAAAACACTTTGTTGGTTCTGAGCGCTTTCGGTTAAACTGTTAGCCAGTTTCAAGGATTATTGTATTTTGTTACACTACTGCACATAAATGGCGTGTAAGCGCTGTTGAAGATTGTATTTAATTTGTTGGGAACAGACGTTTTCGCGTCTCTGATGTGTCTTTAACGCCGTTCCATGCGTCAAAACAATCTAAACAGCTGCATTTTCAATAAATTTTGTGCAGCAAAATATTCCCCTATCAAAAATGCTCGTGATTAATTATTAGTAATTTTGGCACTTTTAGTGTCAAGTTAATGTGGATATTCAGGAAAAAATACAATAGAATTTTTGGCTATTTTTTATCGGAAACTTACTTGGTCTTATACAAGAAATATAAAAATCAGTATGTTTTTTTTTTCTTTTAATTTCTTTAAATATTAAATATTAAATCCCGTTTCAGTTACATCAACCATATCGAATTAGTCATTAATTCTTAATCCTACAAATCATGATGTTTGTATTTACAAGAACAACTAACTAAACCAGCTCGTATACACAAGATACCCTAACACCACCTACCTCCAACACACAAGCATGTATGCTAACTAACAACACTATCTATTGATACATCCTGGTACAAAAGTCAGGAATATTAAGTAACGAAACTGTGGCACTGCCTTTTCAATTTCTTTATTATAAGCTGTTATGCAATTAATTAAATAATTCATTATATTTGTTTCAACTAAAAATAAACATTTTATTATCAAAGTGAATGTAGCCGAATCCATTACATTCCCTTACGTGCTAATACCCTTGAGAAAAGGTATGAATCCTCTTCTTCTTCTTCCCCCCAGCTATGGGTAAATAGCAGGACAGACCAAGTTCTATAGCCTCGTCAGTCATGTATCAAAAGATAGATGATCGCCTAAACGTGTATCACGCATGGTACATAACTGAATGAAATTCACTTACGTGTTAATACCCTTGGGAAACGTATGAATCCTCTTTTTCTTCCCCCAGCTATGGGTAAGTAGCAGGACAGACCGGGTTCTATAGCCTTGGCTGGCAACTGGTCTACCGCACAAAGAAATGGCAACTTACTGCGGGAAAAAAAATCAGCCTCGTCAGTCATGTATCAAAAGATTGCCTAAGCGTGTATCACGCATGGCACATAACTGACTGACTGATATCACGAATTATAAAAGGAAGACAATTTACCCAGTAAGGTACGGAATATTTTTGCACGATGACATATCCACGGAATGCGCCGTCAACTGTTGCCGGACAGTCATTACATTATTGCATTCAGCATCCATCTAATTGTAATATAATTTTTTTGTAGGGCAGGTGGATGATCTTCGTCTTCTAGGGATAAGGTTTAGAAAGATTACAACACTGATTACACTTTGGTTATTTTCTCACTTTATTCAAGGTTTCTTGAAAAGAGAATGGTTTTCTGAACGAGGACTGAAGTTTTTCTTTCGTCTTGTTTTCTTTTTCTTTTTTAATTTGTTTAACCTCCCAACAATAAGGCAAAAACAAAACCCGACAACCTGCTTTCACTTACTTGTTCCAAGACCGTCGTTAATTGGTGACTCTTTTTCATTGTAGATATCCATAGCCCAAGTAACGTTTTTTTTTTTTTACATTCGTTTCGGGTGGTGTAATGGATAGCGGCTCGGAATAGGAAATAGGAGAACCGAGTTCGTATTCCAGTCGAGTTTGTTGCATTGTCTCACGCGCATATACTGTTGGTAAAAGTATGAATCCATCTCTTTACCACCAAGACATGGGTTAAAAAAATAAGTCTCGTATCTAGAAAAAATCATTGTTATCACCAAAGAATTGTTAACGCAATCTTTATTGGCAAAAAAAAAAAAAAAAAAAAAAAAAAATTGTTCATACACTCTAAAATATGTCTCGGCTTTAAATAATCCAGAATGGGCTGATAAAGCAGTAAAAACTCAAATCAATCAAGCAATCAACCCCGTTAAGTGTTTCAATTTCACTTGATCAAGTTTGTTGTAGATTTAAATACCTTATGAGATAAATCCACATCGTTAAATGGAATGCATAATATATAAGTTATGAATGGCATGTTCAAGGGACTTGTCAATGAAACAGATAATTGAAGGAAGACAGTACTCATATATTATTTACATGACTTAATCCCACGTCATGATCACGTGTATCTGACTTAATTTCGGCCGGTTTAACTGAAGCGAGTTAATGAATGAATCTACCCACTCACAAATAATTGTAGATCACTACATTAAAAAGTACCATATATGTTGAAAAGTGGATAAATTTTGGTTTTGTCTCGGACTTACCAGCAAGCGGTGTGCTGTTTTTCAACACATAGCGCTGGAGGCGTGACTGGGGTGGGGGTATGAATTCATATCTTTCCTAAAGATATTTGCGCAGCATGAGTGAATGTAATGAACTCAACTGGAATTCGAACTCGGCTCTTCAATTTCCTATTCCGAGCTGTTATCCATTTACCGAAACGAATTCAGTTCTTTTTTTTTCTACATCTGAAAACGGAATGCTAAGATCATTAGTCACAGAAAGCAGCAGATTACAATCCATCAAACATTAGTTTATCTTTGTTGCCATGGCCATTCTTAAATAAATTGAGAACTCTTTCATGCCCAAAATATACAGTGGCGAAAATACGATGGTTAAAGTTTTATTCATTTCAAAATATGTTTCTAATAAAACAATAGAAATTAGTTTTATTGTTTAAGCTTTATACAGAATTTATTTCTCTTTCAAATGATGTAAAAATTGTATATTTTTCTACAACTTGAAAATTTTTAATGCTGCATTAATTTAAATTATCCAAATTTGCCGGCAAAATAAGTTTAAGACCGCATCGGTATTATTATATTATATAAATGTTATAGTAAAAATGAGCAAAAAAAAATTTATCAATATTGAGTACCGTAACCTTTATTATTAATTACAGCTTCACATCGCTTGATAAGTAAGCACAAACATCATTTGGAATGCTCTGCCATATTTGCTTCATATAATCGTATAATTGGACTAAATTTGTCGATTTTTTAGCGAGAACACTTTTAGAAATATAATTCCATAAATTTCCAATCGGATTAAGATCCAGACTCTGTAGAGGCCACTCAATGACATCTATATTATGGTGATCAAAAAATTGCATTACTTTTTTTGGCTTTGTGAATGGGGCCATTATTTTGCTGACAAATAACTCCAGGTGGCATTTGGTCAGTCAAATATGACAGGACATGTTCCTTAACTAACTGCATATAGCTTACACTGTTGAGTTTTCCATCAACTTTAACAGTTGGACCAGCACTAAAGCTACTGAACGCACCCCACACCATTACACCACGAGCTTGTGGCGCCATTTAGGATGGAATTCCTCGGTTGGGCGGCATCTGACAGGTTTTTCTATCTGATCCAAAGATGCAAAAGCGTGAATCGTCACTCCAAAGAACTCTACACCAGTCGTCAGCCGTCTACTGAATGTGACTTTCCACGAAATTCAGTCACTTGAGTCGATTCCTTTCCGAAATAATTGGCTTTTTTTCTTGCAATGCGCCCGAATAATCCAAATTCTCTTAGACGGTTTCGGACATTTTGAAGCTTGAAACTAACGCCAGTTTTACCAGATAATTGGCTGCAAATGTCCATAGCCGTCAGCGCTCGGTTAGCTTCGGAAAGCCTATGAATTCGTCTATCCATTTGCACTGTTGTTTTTCTTGGAGCTCTCGATCTTATCCTATCCTTATATTGTCCAGTATCCTGGTAAAGCTTCCAAGTCTGAACATAAGCCGTTTGATGCTTATGTTCATAAAGGAAACGTTTTGTTGACGAGGTAACACTATTTTTGATCTAGTCGTTGGGATAAGACTACGACGCTTTCCCATAGCGAGTTAATTGTATAACAATTCTCACTTATTACACTATATCATGCATTAATGACGAGTCATGTGACCACCCATTTAGCAAATAATTTGCATAATACCCATGCGGTCTTAAACTAAATTTGTCGGCAAATTTGGATAATTTAAATTAATCCAGCATTAAATTTTTTCAAGTTGTAGGACAATATACAATTTTACATCATTCGAAAGAAAAATAAATTCGGCATAAAGCGTACACAATAAAATTAATTTATATTGTTTTATTAGAAACATATTTTGAAATGAATAAAACTTTAACCATAGGTCTTGATATTATTTTTGCCAGTGTATATTACACCAACGATGAATTGACTTAAATCTCAATCTGATTCATTGTCAAAATATATAAGATGTCTCTCTTCATCAAAGAAAAGAATAAATGAAGAATATTTTTTATACATCGTGCTTTGTTGTTTCAGCGGAGGCAATAACCGTTGGAACTCCTTGGTAACATTGGCATATTTGGGAAGGCTATTTGAATAATCCAGAATCTATATTGTCAGGAAACCGCCTGCATACGGACAGAAAATGAATTTAGTAGATATAAAAAAACAGGGGGGGTGTAAGACAAGGATGTGTCTTCTCACCGGACTTATTCAACCTATAAAATGTAGGGATTATGAAAGAATTAGAAGTCCTACCAGGGATAATTATTTGCGGCCACGATCTTAATAACGTAAAATATGCAGGTGACAAAAAGGAAACTACAAAAACTTCAACGAAAGGTAGTGGAGGAAAGCGAAAAAGAAAGAACTAAATATATATTGCAAGAACACAGAATGCCTGGTTGTTAGTAAAAGGGACAACCCAACAAGCAAATTACAAATTGGAGATGCCAAAGCCAAACAAGTAACAAACTTTAAATATCTGGGAAATGTTTTAACAGAGAATGTACACTGAAATCCGAAGGTATATTGGGATACCGAAAGATGCCTTCCAAAATTTAAGTAAAGTATTAAGAAACAGAAAAATTACGTTAGAAACAAAGAAAAGAGTATTGAACTGTTACATAATATCAGTCCTTCAATATGGCAGTGAATGTTAGACAGTCACCTCATAGATGACGACGTGACTTGAAATCTGATTCTACAGAAGGATGCTGAGAATACTGTGGGCCGAATATGTGAGCAACGACGAAGTTTTAGAGAAAATGCAAAAAAGGACACGTATATTTAGCATCAAAAAGAAATAGTTGAAATTTCTAGGGAAAATAATGAGGAAAGGAAGCTTAGAAAATTTGATACTCCCAGGCCAGATCGAAGGCTAGCGGGACAGTGAAAAACAACGTTTATTCTACCTAGTGAGCTTAGGTAATGATTTTTCAAGCCTAGTTTAGATGTGGCACAAAGCCGAAAGTAGAGGGCAGCCAGTGAGGATCGAACTCATTACTCAGTCGTAATTGTTCTAGCGAGACAAACTTGCTAACCATTACACCGTCTCGAGGTGCCCGCTAGCGAGCTTGGGTAAACGGATGGCAGAACAGGATTTAGGAGAGATAACAAAAAGTCAAAATTTATTAAAAGCTACAAAGAATAGGAAATTGTGGAGAGCCACGATCATCAACATCCTGAAGGGACACGGCACGTAGAAGAAGGAGGATTTTGTCTACGTCTCATTTTTTCCATCCATAACTATACTCCTACAGTTTGTCTCCTGAAAACTGGGCACCATTCGTGCACCCTGTTACTGGGACTTGCAGCACCCGACTGCCTTCCCTGCAAAGGTGTAACCTTTCCTTAAAAGAAGATACTTATCAATTAAATGATTATAAATTCAAATATAAAAGACAAGGTGGATAAAATAAGTAAAGGTTTACTGTAAAAACCCGTACAATAAGAATAAAGGCAACAGTTATGCACAAGGTCGTCGCAAGTCAATCCAGTAGTGAATGCGACTATTGGAAGGTCGGTAGTTCTCGTGTAAGTCGTACTCAACAGATCACAGCTAGTATATCTAACAATCGCCCCACGTGGTCAGATGTGCCACAAGGCCGAATTTAAGGTGGGGTATCCGAGCCCGTAGGCTCGGCCAAAAATTCCCCGTAGACCCGGGGTCGGGTCGCTGTTTCCCGAGACAAGACTGCCCTTCGACATAGTCTTGTTTGAGGATCCTCTCTGCCAGGAGTTTGACCAGCAAGGCTGGAGACGAATCTCCAACTCTAACAGACCACAGCTAGTAATATTTACCAACCTCCCCATGGGTTAGGGTGTGGCACAAGGCCGAATTTAATGTGGGGCAATCCGAGCCCGTAGACTCAGCCAAAAAATCCCCGTAAAATATGCATAAACGGGATCAGGTTAGTCAACCTCCCCAGACGAGACTCTGCCCTTCGGCATAGGCTCGTTCGGGTTCCTCTCTCACCGAAGGCAGAGAGTTCGACAGCACAGATAGAACAGATCCCAGCTAGAATATTTAGCCACCCACCAACGAGGGTTTTATGTGGCACAAGGCCGGGTTTAACGTGGGTTCTCCGAGACCGTAGGTTCGGCTAAAAATATTCCCTTTTTGAACCCGCATAAACGTATTCAGAGTTATTCTACCTCCCCGAACGACACTCTGCCATTCGGCGGAGGCTCGTCCGGGTTCCTCTCTGCCCGAATGCAGAAAATTTGACTGTTTAGCTGGAACAGGTTGCAAGCTAGGCTCTTTAGTCTGTTGACTTACAGATACTTATAGGTAGTTACTACCTATAGTGTAGTCACTCATGTTGGTGACAGGTTACTCCATTACATCACTTATAGACTCAAATATAGACGACCAGTATTTAAATATTAACAAACTAAATAAAACGTTACAGATTTAAATATGAACGACCAATATCTACCTATTCCTCAACAAAAATGCATAGACATTCAAATGTATATGACTAATATTTATTATTCGACTACAGACTCAAATATGACAACGAAACCAAATAAAGGATTCAGTCAGTTATTTGTCATGCGTGATACACACTTTAGACAATCATGCATCTTTTGATACATGACTGACGAGGCAGATTTTTTCGCCGCAGTAGGTTGCTATTTCTTTCTGCGATAGACCAGTTGCCATCGAACATAGAACCCGGTCTGTCCTGCTATTTACCCATAGATGGGTGGAGAAGAAGATGATTCATACATTTCCCAAGGGTATTAGCACGTAAGTGAATGTAATGGATTCGACTGGAATTCGAACTCGGCTCTCCGATTCCTCAATCCGAGCCGCTATATATACAACCAATATGTACTTATTCTACAAGCCAAATAAATGGTTACACATTCAAATATAAACGAACAATATTTACCTATTCCACAAGCCAAGTGAATGCTTACAGAATGAATGCTTATAAACGACCCATATTTACTTATCCCCAAATGAAGTAAATGTTAAACCAAGTTGTGCTAAGCGTTTTGAAATGACGTTATGGCCTATTAGGAAAACCTACCACCCACCGGTAACGACTGAACACATTCTGTGTTGTTATGTTTCTCGACTGGCACCTAATCGCCTGTCCATGGCAATCTCCACTCCTTGCATCTGTAATCGCCATAACTAAACAATCCCTTCCCACAAAGTCATAATCAGATGCCAGTCGCCAGTCACCAATGATACCGTTCACTGACGGCCCCAAACCTTGCCCAAGAGACTGCACAGCACCACCAATGTACCATCCATCGAATGCACAGATTTGAAAGCCGCGGGTGCATACTGTGCTGATGTAATTACGGGTGTCGGCAGTAATTTCCGTCGACTTGGATGGATCTAGAGGAAATGGAAGCCTGGCAGCAATTTCGGTATTTTTAAGATCTATGGCCCCAGATTAATTAAAATCATTCTTATTTGTCTTTAGGTAGTTTATGTCGCGCTGGCAAAGACTGAGTCGTGGCCGGGGTAGGGAGTAATAGAAAATAAACCTTGGTGGCACAAAGAGAGTGATAGAAAAAGCAGAAAGAGTGGGTGAGAGAGCGAGAGAGAGAAAGAGAAAAGCATTTACATGGAGAGGGCTTCGGAGTCCAGAGAAACAGAAAGCGTAAACGGAGAGAGATAAAGAAAAGGACTGTAGAATAAAAGTGAATTCTAAGAGGAAGAAAGAAAGTAGGGGGTAAAGACTTGTAGAGAGAGAGAGAGAGAGAATGTAGAGGAAGAGAATAAAAGATGGGAATAGCAAATATAAAGATACATAGGGAGAAGGTAGGACAGATGAAAGAGAAAGAGTGTGTATGTGTGTTGGGCGGAAATAGACTTGATATATATATAAAAAGACGTAGGGCATTTTGGTGAGAGGCAATGACTGAAGGGAGATATAGAGTATAAAAAGAGAAAAAGAAAGAGATAATATAAGAAAGAGAGCTGATGGAAAGAAAGAGCAGAAAGCGAGAGTTGGAGGGAAAGGAACAGGAGAGAGAGAAAGATCAAAAAGATAGAGAATAGAAAAAGAGAGGAACAAGAAAGGGCACAGAGAAAGAAAGAAAGAGAGAGATCGTGCAGAGGAAAAGGGCAACGACGAATATCGAGAGGCTGTGGGAGAAGGAGAATGGGGCGCTAAGGAAGAGATAGATAGATAGATAGATAGATAGATAGATAGATAGATGGATGGAAAAGAACTAAAATAAAGTAAAAACGGAACGATGAAAAGAAAGATTAGAGTGAAAGTGAAAGAAAGCAACAATAGAAAGAGAGAAGTGAGGGAAAAGAAAAGCGAGACAAAGAGAGAGAGAGAGAGTGTGTGTGTGTATGGAAGTAACAGGTGAAAAGAGGGAGTAACAGAGAGGGAGACCAGGGAGAAAAAGAGAAAATACTATTGGTGTAAGAAATGGAGAAAAAGAAAAAAGAGAGCAACGACTAAAAGGATCATCGAGAGAATGGGGGTTGGCGTGAAAAATCTGTGATACAACGAAAGAGAAAATCCCAGCAGTTTATTTGTTAGGCAAAAAGCGGACCAACCAAAAGAAAGTGGAGAAAGATAGGACGAATGGATAACCTTAAACACTACCCATGCGTATCATTTATGTAATATTGAAAGACGATATCTATCTATCTATCTATCTATCTATCTATCTATCTATCTCTCTCTCTCTCTATATATATATATATATATATATATATATATACATACAATTATAACTAATCAAATACATAAATGTACGTTCAAGTTTTCACATACACACAAACGTACATTTATGTACACACACACACGCACACACACACACATATATATAGTTAGTTGTCAGGAGTACGTATTTTAGTTCACCTGTATGTATGTGTGTCTATGTGTATGAGAGTGTCACCCCAAACAAACACAGAAGTAGATTTCCCCCACACACCACCAAACATAGTCAAACAAGCATGAATAAATGCAATTTTAAAAAATAAACCAGTTTATCTGATGATCGCAAAAACGTGAAACCCAGGGTTACAAACTTATATCCATCCAACTGAATATGTTAGCACTATCACTATATATATATATCCTTTGTTATTTTCCTTATTTTTTCTGATTTCTTTTTGAATCTGTAGGTCTGATGAATTGGATCGTAATTACGATTCGAATGTAATAAATTATAACCATAGAATATTAGTGTTTAAACCTTTTTATTATATTCTTACTCTGTCCTGGACATTGAGTTCTACCTGGATTCTATCCTCTTGGAAACTTTTATATATATATATGTATGTGTATGTATGTATGTATATATATTTAGATATTATATATATATATGTGTGTGTATATTAACCACTAATATATATATATATATATATATATATATATATATATATATATATATATCCTTTGTTGTAAATAAAACCAGTGCTAAATGCAAAATGGCAGAGCTATTAAGTATAAATATAAATATAACTATATATATATATATATTTATATAACTATAAATACACATAATACGTACGACTTGGAGTTTTAGTGCATAAAACTCCGAGTTTTACTATTGGCGTTGGTTATTATGTATATTTATTAATATATATAAAAGAACTTGAAAGAGACCTTTTTAACTTATACAAGAACTGAACAAAAATTAACTATAAAAAAACAAATGAAAACTACAGGCAAAGTCCACTTTCTTCAGAGACAGTCATTCACCCATGTACTTCACTGCTACTAACCAGCAGGAATTTTTCTCCTGATGATAGCCATGCTGACCGAAACTAGTCGTGGAACCTAATTTAAATAATAAAACAAAAATATTAATATACTACCCAGTGTGTTTAAAATTTTAATTTTTAACATTTTTTCATTGTTCAAGACATCTATCTATCTATCTATCTATCTATCTATCTATCTATCTATCTCAATCTCTCTCTCTCTCTCTCTCTCTCTCTATATATATATATATATATATATATATATATATATATATAGAAAAAGTTTCAAATTGAAAATTATAATGTTTTATTTTATGAAAGTATTTATTTATTTATATATATATTTGATATTTCAAATTGTCCTCAATTTTTCATCAGAAATAACTGTTTGTTACAAATAAATTAAAATTACTGTTAGTTAGCAAGTAGCGTCCTTCGCGAGACGCGGACGTCACGTGATATGGAACGTCACTGTTCGGATATTCCTAACTTAAATCTAACTGTCATAAATATTTAAATATATATATATATATTAATTTCAATAAAGGTGCAATCAATTTACAAATTCTGGTAAATTTTCTGTCAAAAAAAAAAATTTGACAGAAAATTTACCAGTAAAAAAGAATTCGCTTATCACCATATTTGTATAAGAACGCACAATTGTATAATTTAAATTCAAACTCAGCGTTGCGATTGCACGCTCCAAAACAATAACTCATTTCTAATAGTATTTTTCGGATTACAACAGTACATATATTTTCGTTGTCCTCTTATTACTGAGAGAAAAAACAAGAACAAAATCTATTCCATACCTGAGGATGTCTGTAGGAACAGACGAAAGCTTGTAAAAATAATAAGAACTCATGCAACAGGAATTTATAGAAGCAAGGATCTTTTCATTCATAAACAGATTCGGGGTTTTTGTATATTATTTGAATTGTTCGCGACGATGGATTTCTCGCCAATAAAATCATTAACCTTTGTATTTGTTTTTTGTATGAATAATTCATGAATATATATATATATATATATATATATATATATATATATATATATAGATAGATAGATAGAATAGATAGATAGATAGATATTAAAGTAGGTAAAAAAAATCAGGAGATTATATATTTTAGGTTCTGCATTCATATAAAGTTAAAAATGTTTCACGGAAATTATTAAATGTTAGCCGGTTGAAGTTTCAAACCACAGCCTCGGAGTTACCGTCACATGATGGTGAAACACCGGTTCTTGTACGATCAGCAAAGTTAAGCAACGTCTAGTTTGGTCAGTATATAACAGCTCGGAATTGGAAATCTGAGAGCCGAGTTCTAATTCCACTCGAGTTCGTTATAATCACTTATACGTAAATAACCTTGGGAAAGGGACAACTGCACCTCTTCTCCACCACCAGCTATGGGTTAATTAGTAGAACACGTACCAAAATCATTATTATCACCAAAAACCGAAAAATATTTTCTGGGTTTAAATAATCCATAAAAGGTTGATAAGCCGTAAAAAAACTTATCGATCAATCAATCACAGCCTCAGTATACTATGTGTTACTACTATGGTTTCAGTATCAAGTATGTTTTACGGAGTGCAGTTGCTAGCACCATGCCAAACCGGTTTTGAATTTAGAGTTGTAAACTGGTTGACCACTGTTAGAGAATCCAGGCCGGTAATTGTAAAACGATAGCCTAAGAAATATAACATTAAAGCCACAGACAGATATGTACGTTATGCAAAGAATAAGAATGGCGAAGTGATTGGTGCACTGAAAGTGCTTGGTACCGGGTAGATACCATATTGTTTGAGTTTAGAGAATTCTCGTCTCAAAAACGTAAACAATTCTAGCGGTAGCTTGCTTTGTATAATGTTTTCTGCTTGTTTGTTTTTGCATTGTTTTACGTAAGCCATTTTCTTGGTGCGATTCCGTGGTTTATGTTAAACCAGCTTACTTTTTATATAAAGTACTGTTTTACTGCTATAGCAACAGTTCTTTTGTGATGTTATGTAATGTACTCATAGCTTCCTTTAAAAAAAATTCTGAATATATCCTGTTGAAATGGGAGTGCATCTAATATGCTTGTACAGAAGGAACGGTGGAGTAATGGATAGCGACTCGGACTGAGTAATCGGAGACCCTATTTCGAATTCCAGTCGAATCCATTACATTCACTTACGTGCTAATATCCTTAGAAAAGATATTAATCCTCTTCTTCTACCCACCAGCTATGGGTAAATAGCAAGAAAGACCGGGTTATATAGCCTTGGATGGCAACTGATCTACTGCAGTAAGAAATAGCAAACTACTGCGCGAAAAAAAAGTCAGCCCCGTCAGTCATGTATCAAAAAAAGCATGACACATAATTGACTGACCCTTGGGAAAGGTATGAATCCTCTTCTTCTCCACCCAGCTATGGGTAAATAGCAGAACAGACCGGGTTTCTTTATCCATGGATGGCAACTGGTCTATTGCGGAAAGAAATGGAAACTTACTGTGCGAAAAAATCAGTCCCTGTTAGTCATGTATCGAAAGATACATGATCGCCTAAGCGTGTATCACGCATGATACATAACTGACTGACTTTTTTAAAACAATCTCAATTCTGTGTAGAGCCGAATGTAAATGTTCTGTTTTTGGCTTTAAATTTGGCTGAGATATTTTCGTATTCATAATTAAAGCATAAACATGGCTTTCCCTGTTCTCATCGCGAGTCATTTTGATTATTGTGGTGAATTGTTTCCTCGTCAATTCCCCTTTTTTTTCATAATTTCCTTTACCCGGGCAATAGCAACTAAATGGCCAGTTTTCAATCTTGACGGACGGAAGCCTCTAACCTTCATTTAGTTTCTTATTTGCCTTTGTGTCGCTCGCCTCAGGCTGACACTTTTATACACGTATTCACTCACACACATGATCCGAATAATAATTTCTGAACGCGGAAGGTAAAAGCCCTTTGCTATAATTCTTTTAGTTCGCATTTCCTAGCAGTAAAAAAAATTATATGAAAATTTTAATGAAGAAAAAATATGGCGACAGCTAGCTACAAACGCCTACGTTTTGTTCCATCGTTTCTTATCAAATAATCTAATCCTAACATGAAAACGGCTGTCTAAATACAAGATTAAAAACAAAACTATGTATTTACATTCCCTTGTTGGTTTGACTGATTCTTTATTTAAATTTCATTCCTTAATTTGATTAGCTAGCGGATTGAAAAAAAAATATTTATCGTAAATAAATAAAGGGGAGTAATTATGAATTGAAACCAGTCTACGAACAACTACAAGGGGAAACGCACAAACTGGAATCACAAAAAAGACCTAATTCAGAAGATTAGAAAAAAAAAGGATATTGTGGGTGTATGCAGGGCTGTTGAAAGGGTCTCCTCCCAACCCTGAATCGATGATACGGGGCCTCCGAATCGATGATACGGGGCCTCCGAATCGATGATAACACTCCACTCAACTATATCTCAATTTTTCATAAGGTAGTATTCATATAAAATACAAATTTTATTGTTGTAACCTGATTATGCACAGTGATGGATCATATGCTATATAAAGATTCAACTAGAAAAAATGAGAATAAATACAATCTATCTAAACATAAATTAGAGACATACCATAATAGATCATTCCATCTTAAATAAATCAACAATGTTTTGCGGCAATTTTTAACATTAACTTGAGATTTTTCTTATTAAAAAATTGAAGAATTTAAACATTTAATATTACGAATAAAAAAATAGTGAATTTTAAACAGTATTTTTCCGAGACTTAACATAAGCAAAACAGATTGACGGATTTGGATGAAAAAAAATCCAAAATGACGTCAAAATCTGTGAGAATTTCTCCTCCCTTAATACTAAGAGTCAGTTGTGCTTAGTTTAATTTGTAACGTATATAAATGTAGGTAGAAAAAAAGCAAATATTGATAAGATAGCGAAGGTCACAAAACACTGCCCGGAGACCCCAATCAGGTTCTGGCCCGCCTCGGTCGGAAGTAGTACGTATCGGCCCCGTCTATGTCTATAATCCCAAACACATGCATACTTTGAATTAAGTTTTGAATGAGCAAGATAAAATGAAAATGCCGTTTTATTTTTTATATTTTGATCAAATATTAAGTCATAAAATCTTCATCATCAATCCAGTGACCGGATGTGGTCAATATGTCGCTGGGAAACTGCACCAATGAACGGCTCTCTCCAAATGTCTCAGTATGTATTCATTTATACGTAGCTTGTCTTGAGCTAGTAGATATGGTGGAGCCTATCTCTCTCCAGGACAAATCAGAACTGATGTCCCCCAACTCGTCTTGGTCGCAGACACGTGGTCGTTGAATCCATCTTCCGCTCTGGTCTGGTCTGGTCTGGTCTAGGAACCCCCTTCTTCACCGCCGTCAAGCGAGGTTGCGTCATCATCGTACTGGCTGTATATATAGCTATGGAGCTCTGCTTACATGATTGTGCTAGATGACCGTTCACCCTACAAGAAGGTTCATCCGTCCATTTGAAAATTGTTTTTTAATCCTATTTTAACCCATTTGAAACATGTTTTTTTAGTCTTGCTGGTTGTCTAGACAACTTCCTCACCAGAAAAGGCCTGTTGGGAGAACCGGTTTAGTCGGCGATGACCTGACCCTGCGGTTACATGGGAAAAGTAGCATTCGTAGAATGACCTAATGTACCATGTCTATAATTCTAAAATACACATTTTGAATTAGACATTCTAAGTATTACAGAATGTGCGTTGTGGTGTAATGAGTAACGGCTCAGAATGAGAAGTTGGAGAGCCGAGTTCAAATTCCATATCTGGTTCGTTATATTCGTATGAATCCATCTCTTCTAAAGGGTAATGTCTAAATAGCATGACATACTGTGTCCCCTAGCCTTGGGTGGCAACCAGAAGAAAGAAACAGCAACCTACTTCGAGAATTTTGCCCAGTCAGTCATGAATCGAAAGAGATATGATCGTCAAAGCGTATGGCACTTAACTAACTGAATGTTTTATCGTCTGAGTATGTCGAATCTCGTATAGATATTTACGAAGTTGAACTTTGACGCGAAATCACGATCGTAGAAATCTTATCATTGGCTTGAGAGACTAGTTTGATAAACATTGTACAGCGGCTGACATCTTATTTATTAATCCAAGTATCTTCGGACACCTAGTCACTAAAGGCGAACAATCTCACTACACTAGATATGGCTTGTAAGATTAGCTAACCCTAAGCTAGGCGATCCGTTTTGCTTTTCATGAAAATGTTTTTACTATTAAATTATCGAAGTGTTCGTCCATTAAAGAGCATATTTAATTCTGGAATTGTCTACACATCATCCTATCAAACAAAAGTGGGTATGGATAACATTCGAAACTTCGCACGCCTATCGTTAATCTATAGCTATTTCTATGACAGGTGTTCTGACGAGTTACATTTCTTAGTTCCACTAATTCAGACCATCCCAGCCAAGGCCCGCCATATTACGCACACTGAAACGAGTCATTTTCATTCTCTTTGTATTTCATTAGTAAGAAGAAAGTTCCACTAGGAAATCTTCTTTACAAGAACCGTTACCCTCGATCAATACAATCTTAATCTCTTCAAGTCTAGAGTCAACCGTTATCTTTCTTACATATCCTCATAATCAGCTCTTCTTACCTCCTCCTCTTACGTTCATATAACAACCTCATTCATACTCCTGAGAGGATGCTTCCTTGATCGCTACAATCTTGACCTCTTCAAGTATACGGTCAACCGTTATCTTTCCTAAATATCCTCATAATCTGAACGCCTTCTCCTACGTACATACAACAACCCCCATTCAGTAACCTTCTACCTTGAGTGGCTCTTGGATCTTGTTTTAGGTGAACACTTAGTAAAAATCCCTATAAGTCCGTTGACATATTCCAGGCTATCATTTTCTTTGTATAATGCGCAGGATAATTTTTGAAGTTAAGAAATTGTACCCAAAATATATTGCATTATTTGGCGAGAAGTACGGTAATTTTTTTTACCTGAAAATTTATATGGTACTCAATTGTACGAAATGGATTAATCATGCTATTAGGAGTTTTAACGTATAGAAAAGCGTACCAATTCAAATAAAATTTCACCAGGAATATTTAATAATTCCGGAAAATGTTTCACAAAATAATAAGCGTGCATACCAGATAAGCAACATGTCGGGGCCAAAAATTGAAGGAGATTATTTGTGTCGTCGTTTGTTTTTGGTATACAAGAGTATGTAAGTTCATATATATATATATATATATATATATATATGGAAGGGGGAATGTATGGCATAGTGAAAAAACGTTTTTGTGTAACGCGTTTCATTCTTTAGGACTTCAACAGACTAAATTTGTTACGTTGATACAACTAAACTTGCGTACGAACGAGGGACGCTGGGAATTTTAAATTAAAAATGTTTGTTTTATATAATCTTTGCTGATTTCATTTAGATTCTTTACTTTTTGTTTCGATCACTGAACAAAACAATAAGCTAAAAGTTGAAGGAGGAATTTACTCTGTCGCCCGTAGTAGTTGTTACAAAAATACATAGGAGAAACCTCGAGTAATCTAAATAAAATATTATATGAACACAAAAGGGACATTTTACAAAACAATACATTAAATGCATTAGTTTCTCACCGTAACGAGACTGGCCACAAATTTGACATAAAAAGATACGGACTTTTAGATACTGTGGCTTTAAATTTACTATAGTTATCGTTCTTATTTTCTGATGGTGTCGTGTATGGACACACGATATTTTCAGAAAATAAGAGCGATAAC